CATACTGTCTCGGCTGTCAAGGCTGAAAGGCATAAAAGTTCACATCCGCCGAGATTTGGAACCTGGACAGGGATCGTTTGAAGACTGTGGTCATTGAGCTCAAACGCCGTACAGAGTAAGGTGAGACTGACTTACAAATTGTAACTTTTCTGGTGATCAAGAAGGGTGTACGAACCCGTATCAGCCGGTTGCTCGACCTCAAGGCACATCCCGCAGTACCTCCCAGGACCTCCGTGTGGCATTCGCCAACGTGTGCAGCTTAATGAACAAACGTGCCGAACTGTACCGTTTCGCTGTCTCGGAGCGGCCGGACGTTTTAGGACTTGCAGAGACTTGGCTGAAATTGTGGTGCACAATCCGCCTCAGGCGCGCAGAACTAATAGTGGGGGTTATCTACCGGAGCCCATTAAACCGTTGTTGCGATTGGCTACCACATGTACAGAAGCACATGAGCCATCCTCAGTTCTTACTGATGGGGAATCTAAATTTACCTAAGATATTTTGGCCGGACGTTCAACTTCTTCCCGGTCATGGGAACGTTGAGGCTCAATTCGCTAAACTGATTTAGAAATCGGGGTAATGTAACATGTCATCCAACCGACGCGCGTAACTCCGCACTCGGCATCTTGTCTGGACCTAATGTTTACGAGCTGCGAGCAGGAGCTGAACGAGATCAGAGTCATCGAAACTAGGGCGAACAGTGACCACTGCTCCATTGTGGCAAGCTTAGAACTGTCTTTACCATACTACAATCAACGAAAGCCGACATTCAACTATTGGAAGGCGGACTTCAACGGACTCGTCCAAGCCGCAAGTCAGACTGACTGGACACTACCACAGGATGCGTCACTTGAGGCCTGGTGGTCATTAATAAAGGGGAAGCTTAACTCACTCTGTACTCGGTTCGTACCCCTTAAGTATTAAAAAATTGGACCTGTCAAACCGCATTGGTTTGATAGGGAATATAGACAGTTAGCGCGACGACGTCGCAAACTTTGGGATAGATACATCAGCTCGGGTTGTGATGAAGATTACACGGTGTGCAAGAAACAGCGTAACTTTTGTGACGCCGCAAAGATCAAGAAACGCCGGCAGTTCGAAGAGGAGCTAGCATCCTCGGTCACAACTGCACCCAAGAGAATATTTGCCTACTTGAAACGTCAACTGAAACCTGGGGGCGACCTACCGGTCTTAGAGAGCTTAGACGGAAAGATGCTCATTACAAGCGCGGAGCGCGCGGATGCCTTGGCTACGCACTTCCTCACTGTATTTTCCAGTAAACCGGCGGCTGTTTCAGTACCGGCACAGGTTGTGCCATTCTTGCTCGAAATGCAGGCGAAATGTATCAGCTACTCGTCAACCTCGATGGTGCAAAGCCCCCCGGACCAGACGGACTTCACCCACTAATACTCAAGTCACTATCAAATGTCATCTCACAAGCTGTGACAGACCTATTCAATAAATCACTCTCTGAAGGATCTTTGCCGAACGACTGGAAATGCTCGATAGTGAGACCGCTTCCCAAGGGTGGTGACCCGAGTAAAATAGAGAATTATAGACAGATTTTTTTGACATTGATATTATCCAGAGTTCTCAAGAAGGTTGTGTAAAATTGTCTGCTGTCGTTTTTCGAATCGATGGACGCATTGACGCCAGCGCAACACGGCTTTGCGAAACGGCAATCCTGCATCACCAACTTGAGGTACGCAAACCACCAGTGGGTACGAGCTCTCAATGAACAGAAGGATGTTGACGTGGTGTACATCGACTTTAGTAAGGCGTTTGACAGAGTGAACCACGAGGTACTCCTTCGTAAACTGAGGACATACGGAATCGGTGGCATGCTCCTTCAGTGGGTACACAAGTTTATTGTGGGACGAAGGTTTAGCGTACAGGTCAATGACTGCCTGACAGACTGGTTCCCATCGACCAGTGGCGTGCCTCAAGGAACTGTACTTGGGCCAGTGGTATTTCTTATTCATATCAACGATCTTCCGCAGCAGCTCCAGTCACTATGTGCCCTGTTTGCAAATGATTTGAAAATCTGGACGATCATTGAGAACCAGAACGACTGCGCTCGCCTGCAGCATGACTTAGAGCGACTGTCAACGTGGTCCACTGAAATGCAACTCCCTCTTAACGCAAGCAAGTCGGAGTTCATCAGTATCACCAGACGTCCAGCCACTCGATCATACACCTTGGACGACCAGTTACTCCACCCCAACACATCTGTCAGAGACTTAGGAGTTCTCTCACGTCATGATATGAGATCATTAGAAAATACAGAGAAATTGTACTGTGCGGGACTTCGTATGCTCTGGGCATTAAGACGCAGTTTCTCCACATGGTCCGAAGAAACCGTCCCTTGTCTATTCCCCTCGCTCGTCAGACCAATCATTGAATACGGTGCCACAGCTTACCGTCCGATAAGCCAGTGGGAAACTGAAAAGCTGGAGAAAATAAAGCATATCGCAACTAGAATGATACCGAGTCTACGAAAGCTTCCGTATGAAAAACCTTGTGAAAGGCTCGGACCCTACACACTATCCTACCGCCCAGTACGAATTAACCTTATTATGACCCGTTGAGTACTACACTTGAATCACTTCCCCATACTGCGACCAAAATTTCACCTGCGGGAACCCTGTAACACCCGAGGACACCGTTCCAAACTCATGGTCCCCTGCATGAACAAAATATCACATCAGCTTTGTATCGAATAAAGAATCTTAACCTCATAGAATACACTACCAGAAGGATTAATAGAGGCAGGTTACGTGGTGTTTTAAAACGCGTATCAATCATTATTTCGAAAACCTGTGCTTTTGTGAAACGATGCACATACAATACCAAAAGAAAACATCGTATGCCCCGAAATAATGACGCCAATACAAATTCCTAACGGAACAAGGATAAACGATTAATGGACCAGACACACTGCTGATGATTCACAATTACATGTTTGTGAGTTTTCGCAATTCGACAGAGCTGTACAGAAACTTTTCTACTTGCTCTTAAATACAGACATGGTCTCAGTCTCAGGTCAGGTCCAAAGGCATTGATTGTGAGAAGGAAGATATCAAGTAGGTGAGAATCACTTACTTTCGTTCTCACACGGTTCTAGTTAAATTGCAAAACTGAGAATGTCTGGTCACGCATGTGTGTCGAGGCAAACAAGCTGGGCATTTGCTTATCAAGTGTACGGATTTTTTGGAGTTGTCTTTATCCAGCTGGCAGTAAATTTGATGAGAGTGAGCTGTTGCACTATTAATTCCTTAAATCTTGGTAGTCTTAATGATGTCGTGTGTATGAAAAAAGCCAAGTTTGAATTTCTTATTTCATTAGAGATCGACGGAGCAGTTAAACTGTTAACTGTGGTCGCATTTGGTCCGCTAGGCGGGGTGCGGACATCCCTGGTATCGAGCGTCGGATACTACTTTCCAAGCTTCAGCATTAAGGGATAGGTGATCCTCTTCTAAGGTGGATTGCGTACTTTCTCCACTAACGGCAATTAATGGTCAGAGTTCGGAGTTGTTTGTCGGACCCCGTACAAGTCGAGTGTGGTGTGTCGTAATGTTCATTTCTAGGGCCACGAGTGTTGTTGGTGTTTATCAACGACCCCGCACATGTAATTGATTCGAAATTCCTACTGCTCGCCGAAGATATTAAAAATTGACGCAGGAATCAGGTGAATGCCAAGTAGTATCTGCTTGATTGGCATACACGGTGCATCAGTGATCAACTCAGGAATAACTGCATGTTAACGTGAGTAAATGCAAGGTACTGTCCATACGACATCATAGAAACTACTCATACCGACTCGGAACGAATGTACTGCAACAATCAACTGTCAAAGGTGATTCGGTTGTGCTGGTTAAAGATGAATTGGGTTTCTTTAGACAATCCAAAGACTCCTCAGGGGCTGACAACCAACTAGTAGGGCTGTTACGACGGGAGTTCGGGCAAATAAATAACTTCATATTTCCACGAATGCTCAATGCGTATGTGAGCTCCCCAAGTCGAGTAGGCAATACAAGCCTGGCATCCATGGCTAAAACATAACTTTAGTGTACTGGAGCAGCGTCTAGGCTGGAGTTAAATTACGTACTTGAAATGTGTAATCTTTCATACAAGCAAAGACTGAAACGATTGGGGTATTCAGCGGACGGTGTCGCAGATTCCGACGCGACGTGATAATGGCATACTTGGTTCTGCACGACCCACATCCTGTGTGCCGCTGCTTACTGCAACTCAGCAACAATACAAACCTGAGGGGCCACTCATTAAAACTCGCAGAACAATACAGTCGTCTGGAGTGCCGCAGGTATTTCTTTTCCATTAGTGTATATTACTCAAAGTATTCTCTGGCTGAATCGGTCGTCTCTGCACCGATAGTAAGAATATTTAACAAAAGGCTGCATGACGCACTCATCCACTTACAATTTATTACGTAGCACTACGTCTCCATCCTGCTCCTAAAGTGTAACTTGGATGTATTTCTGTTAACTGTGGGTGCTGTGAATCTACGTGGATTGCAGGGATACAGTGAAGTAAACGATAGGTCCTTCCTTTGGAACAAATTACCAACTATTCTATTATAATTACTATTACTATTATTATTTCGATATCCCCACCAAAGTACCCAACAGGACTTTCGAAGCAGCGTTTCTTAACCCGTATAGATTCATTGCTCATTGTGCCGCCAATAAATGGCTACGAAAAGAAGTTCCCTGAATATGGGACCATTGTCCATAGGTATGTTTACACACTTATTTACTAGTGGTCGGCTTTACGTTATACGAGTTAGAAGTGCGAACTCATAGAAATGATTTTGGAAGATGAGACTTCTTTGTAACCGGAACTTGTACTGACAGCTCGTCGTTTGTACATACCAAGCAGATTGATGTAAATGTACCCGGCACGAGCACGCCTCTGGGTTATGAACTCGGTGTCACCACAAATAATCGGTGGTTAAGCAATCAGCCGCAACCGGAGATAACTTACCCAGCGTTTAAATAAACGTCCAAGATTGGGTCATCCAAATTTGGGTAATCATACCACTGAGATGTGTGACTGTCCGAGCACCTTAGAGTGCAAAAATTATCTAGCCTCTTTTGTGCAGTCGCGTGGTCATAGTGGGCATATCGAAGGAAGCTCAATAAAAAGTCGTCATCTGGAGGAGGAGAGAGAAGCGGAGATGTACAATGGTCAATTAATATAGTTAGATGATGATGCATGGGTAGTTATATCGGTGAAATTAATGGTTGAGTATGACATTGGTTCATAATGCACGTTTACCTTACCGACAGTTCTCAACACTAGCAAGCGCATGCTTGAATCTCATGCATGAGAAGCTAGTCTAGAAAAAGAAGTTCATGACTTGCAGAAGCATCTTGCCATCATAACCAGATGACAACCTAGAAGACGGCTGCATGAAATGAAGGTTATTATAATGATAAAATCCATACTGAAAGTTTGCAGGCTAGTGCCTAAGTATTCAGCTAAACAATCCTTGGCAGTGTGCAGTAAAATGGCGAGGCCTGATTTTGAGTTGCCCGGGTTCGCAGCTTCACAAGACATTGAAATTAATTGGATGAGCTGAGCATTAGTACAGGAAATGGATGAGTGGTGGTTCAACCATGTAGACAGGATGGGAACACGAGATGCATCTACAGAATTCCAGCAACTGTTCGACATCAGGGGACTCCACGAAGAAATCGCTTCAAAACACTGCCTTCGAGTGCTTCATCAAGGTGCACTGAATAAATCACACAGGATACGAAACCATGTCAACCTCTCAATAAATGCCTTCAATGCAAAGAAAAATTAATACGTTCCACTCACATGGTGTATGGACCACAACAAGGAAAGCTTTGCAATGCGCTCTATACAACGGTTGTTGGGGCATCCTAACCTAATGGAGGATTGACTACCATTGCACGCTGGTTCACTACATGTGTCGCAAAATCTGTTCGTCTACAGTATCCGAGTAATTGTCTAGTCATTGTTGCGCCGTTTTCTCAAACCTACTAGCTTTGATTTAAAGTGCATGTATGTCGGTAGAGCACAACTGTTAAAACTCCTTATCATCATGATTATACATGTTAGCTAGGCGGGGGAAAACACCTCAGCTACTGTGTCTCAAACTGGTAAAACTGCGTAACATTGCATTGAAAAACAGATTGCGCTGAACTCCTATCCAGGTTTCAATTTGATTTTGAGCTTACCAAATGACTATTAACCTTATTCTCAACAAACGAGACAAAATGTGAGTTTCCTCGTAAGTTTTGGTCCTAATGTGAATTTCGGATTTTACTGAAGGTAATTGGTTCAAAATATTCACTTAATGGAGGACTCCAAAAATCTCTGCTACTGCCATTCTTTATAATGGGGGAATCTTGACACAACACTGTTGTTTCATAGGCGCCTAGTTCGCAAGCTAATGCGCTTATTGATCCGTTTGTAGTTCCGCCGCTGCGGTGATTTTCAGTTTGTGTTATGATCACCCAGTGCATTATGTTGTTGTAGATACACTCTTTCATAGGTTCATTCTCGTCGTACCATAGATCAATTGTTTTTTCGTTTTCTACAAGATGTCAGGTGGATCAGTGGATGAAAACTCGAAGATCAGACAGACAGATAACTCCGGGAACGTCCCCAGTCAGAAGGCAACGGCGCTATCTGCATATGCCCTGACTGGTCGCATAGTAAATCTGCTCTACTTTTTCACAGCGTTTCCCATCTTCCTCTTCACCTAGCGCAGTCATTATACACTCATTCGTATCGGACTAACTCCGCTCGTTCAGTGGGCATAATTTAATGGAAGTCCTTCTTACAGAAAATGATTTGTGCTACCAAAGTGGTTTTAGCGCGCCTCGTGACTCTATCCAGACGCGTCACCCTGTACTTTTTAACAGTTTTCATTCCTGTGACACCGTGATCGATCAATGATTCACCGCGCTATCTGGTGGTCCTAAGATTACATCCATAGAATCATTTCTAACAAAGCTACGACTCGATCTCGGGTTTCAAGTGCATTCGCCTATCGCCGGCACTTCTCGTCGATATCCACCCACTACAAGCCAATTCCAACGGATTTGTCCTACGGTAGGGATGTCCAAACTTTTGTAAGGAGGGCCACATTTTGTGAGGCAAAAATATGTCGTTCCATATTTAGTCTGACATTAAGATAAGAACAACACTTATGCATGCACGAAAAAGTCCAAGCCTGAATGTATTATTTCATGATGAGGCCGCGGGCCAGTTGAAATGTTAACGCGGGCCGCATTTGGCCCGCAGGCGGGGCTTTGAACATATCTGTCCTACAGAAACCAATGTGGATCCTGCTTCGTGTACTTGTGTCTTCTTCGTGACACAGTCATCTACGGTAACCGACTTCGAGCCTGCGACTGGAACAAAGAACGCGTGCATCACTCACCCTCTACCTCAGGTGACCAGACGAGAGCAGCGGTCGTGGTAACAACGGCCATCATTGGAATTGATTCCATCTAACCGCAAATGTGGGGAGCAGACATGTGCACGAGGAATCGGAAGAGGCATGATTGTCGCAAATTGCGGCCTTGTGTTTTACACCTGACTGATGTCCTTTGGTTTTGCCAAACATGCAGAGCAATCCCTCTGCCCCATGCAGAGATGGACGCACATACGTTGCTGTAACATTGGTCATGATTTCTACCAATATCTTTCACACTGTCTCCAAAGGCATAAGCTTTTGCTGCAACCCTTGCCTAGCAGTGGTCAATCTCAAAATACTTCTGATAAGCCTACGCCCCTCCAGCGTACTTACTGCTTCTGCACAAGCTCTCTCTAACGCTGACTGCGAAACATCTGTTTCTTCTGTGTGTCTGTCTTTGTCTGGTTACTCCACGCCCAAAGGGAAAATAAGCCATGCCTCCTCTACTACGCAGGCAAGAAGATCATAGCCCGTCGAGCATGGCATTACAGCACAAAGTCAAAGCCGGATCTTCTCTTCCTCAGAGGATACATTACTAACGTAAGGTAATGTCTGCAAAAACCAATTGGATGCAACTAAGCTGAAAATAAATACGAGGACCTAAGTGGCTGTGGTGAGCATAAACACTGGACGAGAAGTCCAAGTGAAAAAGAATCACCAACCTAAGACCTAAGTTACTTCAAGTTTCCAACTGAAGTCAGTTCTTGACAAGATGAGTCAACTGGAAGACTTAGTCAAGACAAACCCAAAACTACGAAGATCGCTTGCTGCCGAGAGGACCAGCTTTCCTTCTCTTGAACGATATCTGATCATCGTTAACGCTCCCGAATCTAACAAGAAAATGTCAACTCATAGGAAAATGGATGACTAGGTTTTCTTAAAACGGTTGATTTCTTTGCTGTCTGACGAAGAGGAACACGGGATCAATGTCGTCCCAGCCTTTCGCTTTGGCCGGAAACTGGAGGACACATTCAAAGTGCACCCGATGGAAATGGTTTGTCAAAGTGAAGAGGAATGTTGTCGCAAGCTCAGGCAGACCTCGCGTCTTAAGGGAGAAACATTCCATGTCTTGAGAGATCTCTGCCCTGAAGACCGAGTAAGGGTGAAGAATGCCTTTGAGAAAATGAGGAACTGCCAAGTCATTAGTGACTCTAACCTTCAAATTGTGATTTTCGTGTAGTTCAATGGACTCCGAAAGCTCGATGGCGCCCAGTCATTGACGCACCCAGGCTCTAGGGTCTCAGATTGCATTGAGTGTTGTGTCCGCCAATGTGCTAAGCCTACAACATACATTGGATGGGATTCGTCTTCTCAATTTACAGTGTCATCCTGATTTCATGGCTTTTACTGCGATGTGGCTGTCCTCACATATTCTGCATTCTGAAATACACCTTCTTGATTATCAGTTTTCTCGAGCTGGTCGTCTTGGTAGGAGATCCGGAGGTGGCGTCCTACTCTACTGGAAGTCCGAGTTGGAGATCCACACCGTCATCATCATCCTCATCATACACGTTAGCTAGAGGTGGGGAACACCTCAGCTACTGTGCCGCGATACATAGAAAAAGAAAAAAAAGCAACTGGTGCAAGCCGGCTGAGCTACCGGTAACGGATGGGCATCGTTCCGGTAAGCTACCAGCCGACTACTATGCAGCAGTAAAAAAGTACTATGCAAAAGTATATAAGGCTAAATAATGAGATCGTGGTTGGAGGGGGAGGCTAAGAGGGATGGGGTGGGACAAAGAAACTCACAGCACGAACACGGCTCCTAGACATATCAGCAAGTGTGTCCAACCAAACGTGTTCATCGTCTTTCGGACCCCAACCAGGGAGCCGAGACGCTCCAACCGAGGCCAGCTCAGAAGTGAGGGCCTTCATTCCTCTGGACCAAGTCATCGCTTGCCACCCCTCCTCTTCTTCCATCCACACCCCCGGCGCGCAAACAACTCACGTCGCGGGAATCGGTGGGCTGGCATGCGTAACACGTGGCCGAGCCATCGGAGCCTGGTGCGTGAAATAACGGTGCTGAGCGGTTCATTTCCTTTTCCTGTGCCATAAACAAGGCGTCGAACACGCTCGTTGCTCACGCGGTGTTCCCACCAGATGTGAGCTAAATTACGAAGGCACCGGTGGTCGAACGGATTCATACCGTAGAGGTTGATTGTGCTACAGTTGGTGATTCGGAGGTAGTTTGGTGTCGTATCCACGACGGACACAATTCGCTCATGGTTTGTGTTCTCTACAGATCCCCAGTGGCCTCCGGAGCCCGATTGCTGGACTCGATTAAAATGCACGCCAGAGAAAGGCTTGCATACCAATGGGAGCTTTCAGTGCCTGCAGCGTCAACTAGGAATTATCTCACTGTGGTCTCTCCCCAGAGTCCTTCGATGAAATTCTACAAGAAACTGTCCTTGATGTGGGTCTAACTCGACATGTCTCGGCACATATTCAGATTATTCCGGACCAATCGCCGCGCGTTCTTCACCACGTGTTCACGCCCCAACTATCCGATGTATCTTATTTAGGGCTTCTTTATCTACTTGGGTTAAGTGAGCATTGTGCGTTTTCATTTCTATGAACAACACGACCCACCCTTCATCACCGAAGCATACCACGCTGGAACTTCTAGTGCGCTGATCCACTCCGCCTAGAAATGGCCGCAAGTGGCATGGACTGGAGCACTTCCCAGAAGTTGGATCTCG